TTCTTATGAATTTATTTCCTTTCTTAAGAAATCAAGAAACTTGGCGCGTGGAAAATGTCTTCGTTTTTTGCGCGCGTGGAAATCGTTGCGAAAGGCATTTTCTTTTCTTTATTTATATTAAGGCAGACTTGTGGGGAAAAAACACAAAGTCGCAAGTAGAAAAGTCTCTGCAGATCCAATAACTTCCGGTTCGGTTTCGGTCTCTAGCATCGTTCTACTCTACAATAAGTCACTTTCCACTTCATCTAACTCCTTCGTTTTCTCGAGAAAATCCCCGAAGAAATTGAGGTAATTGATGTTTACCCAGAATAAGCATAATTCATTAATGGGTTATGTTCAACTTAGCGTAATTCATTACTGGGTTATCTTCATTTTAGACGTGATTGATGTGTAATCAGAAGTAGTAGTAAAGGAATGAATCATTTGTGTATTTAGCTTAATTCATTACCGGGTTTTCTTCGATTTACATGTAAATTTCTTTTCACTGATGACTATTTTAGCTCTCGGAATCGTCACGCTTTAGATCATTAGTCATTTTAAGATAAAAAAGTTTCAAACTTTTTCTTCTGATTCGTTGAATGTCTCTGTCAAATATTAGTGGGTTTGATCAGAGAGAATTGTCTTTGGTGAAACATAATTTTGGACTTATAAGGTTGCGTTGAGTAGAGAAAGACCTCATTTTTCTTCTTCAATCTCTCTATTAAAGAAAAATGGCGGAACTTGGTGGAGTTATTCCGACGATAGACTTGGAAGAGGTTTCTGATAAGATTCTGAATCAGAAAATCCGTGAAGCTAGTGAGAGATGGGGTTGTTTCAGGGTGATTAACCATGGAGTTTCATTGTCTTTGATGTCTGAGATGAAGAAGACAGTGATGGATCTCTTTGAACGTCCTTACGAGGTGAAACTGCGTAACACCGATGTGCTACTAGGAAGTGGCTACAGAGCTCCTAATGAAATCAATCCTTATTATGAAGCATTGGGTCTTTATGATATGGCCTCTCCTCAAGCTGTCAATACCTTTTGTGACCAACTCGAAGCTTCTACGGATCAAAGGTTTCTCTTTGTTTTCGTTGTTGGTCTCAAAAAGGTTTCTTATTGATGGAACATTGATTTATGTTTTGACGGAGTTTGGGTTTGCAGGGAGACTATGGTTAAGTATGCGGAAGCTATGGATGGACTCGCAAAGGATTTAGCGAGGAGATTAGCTGAGAGTTACGGGCTGGTTGATACCGAGTTTTTCAGAGGATGGCCGAGCCAGTTTCGGATCAACAAATATCATTTTAAACCCGAGGCAGTTGGGAAACTCGGTGTGCAATTACACACGGATTCTGGTTTCTTGACGATTCTTCAAGATGATGAAAATGTTGGTGGACTTGAAGCCATGGACCTTTCTTCAGGAACCTTTTTCCCCATAAACCCGATGCCAAACACGCTTGCTATCAACCTCGGGGACATGGCTACAATATGGAGCAACGGAAGATTATGCAATGTTAAGCATAGAGTGCAATGCAATGAAGCAATAAAGAGGTTTTCCATYGCCTCGTTCTTATTAGGACCAATGGATAYAGAATTGGAACCTCCAAGTGAGTTTGTGGATGCTGAACATCCGAGACTATACAAGCCTATTAGTCACCAAGGGGTACGAAATATTAGAATGACTATGAAATTGCATGATGGAGAAGCTCTCAAGCTTATAACTTATGAATGACTTAAATGTATAAGACAGATTTAGGCGGTTGTGCTATTAAACCAGAAAACTGCAATATTTTGTTAGATCATTACCCTAAGAATGATAAATAAAGATGTATCTTACTTACTGTTTCAACACCTATTAGTTTTTTTTTTATATGAATTATTTTACAATGAGATATTTTCATTAGATGCAATACCCTCCAATCCAATCTGTGCCCTTTTTTTTAAACTATTAATTATCAGTTTTTGTTTAGCGGCGGTCTCTATTTTATTGCTCTAAGTCTTTTATAATGAGTTGATCAATGATGACAAAGATGGACGTGTTTGGTGGATAGGCAAGTTTTTAATTACATCATTAGGAACCAAGAAGATGCTCTTCTTTATAACACTTGACAAGGTTGTGTTGAAAGTAGACAAAAACCTCAATCACACGAATCAAGTCTTTGTTATTCATTTTTGCCGTCTCA